CAATGCCGTAACGACAGCACATTAAGATATCAAAGGTCTGAATTAAAAGAAGATGTCCTACTATATAATTCAAGATCTTATCAAACCGAACCAACACTATCGTTAATTTAAAACATCACAGTTAAAAATCTGATTAGATAAAATTCGATTGATGATTTAAAGAATGACTTCATTCTCTTTATCTTAATAAATGGCAAAATGCGCGATGGCGGCGAGTATAAATAAAAATTTTTTTGTAACCAATAAAGTATATTAAGTAAATAGTTTTCCTGTAATTAGAATAAAATAATATCCAAGAAAGATAAATAAATATCTATTTATAATTTTAAATCATATTTTTAATTTCGAAAATTGCAACAGGTTTTTAGTAAAATTAGTAACTTATTATCGTTCTATAATATTTTCTGATGATTTATAATAAAGAGAAATACACAAATTATTCTTGTTATGAAATCGATAATACATGATAATAAAATTTCATGAAAGATACCTCAATTTTTATACAATAATCGAACAATGTATACTTCATAATCCGTTTCTTCATTCGCAACTTCATTCATGTCTTATAACGTGTATACTATGATTTGTATTGATGTTATCTATTATGCAATCGGATATTTGAGCATAACTATTGTACTCAATGAGAATTTATATTCACAAGAGAAAGGATTTTTGCATATTAATTGCTAAAATAAAAAATTCAATATTTACTTGCGTTGTAAGCAGAAGGATACCCTGTGGAACTAAGTCTATTTCGAAAATGTTTACTTGTGTTAGAGGAACGAGAAAGTAAAGACAAGAGGCAAAGAGCGAGAGGGAGAGGAGGAAAGAGGGTGAATGCATCCAACTCCGCTTGTAATGAACTTGTGAATATTTAGTGGGGTAATTGCCCTTCGTAGCGAGTCTCGCTTGCGTCTACCGCTGTAAGGGGTGTCCGCCAAATCCGGAAGCAAAACCAATATCAGTCGGCCACCTGTGCTCTCAGCTTGCACTTCGTCATATATACGTTACGTGTGCACATCGGTTCCACATATATCGATAATTTGATTTCCTCGGGGACACCGTAGGACGACTGCCAGCCGTTCAGCCGACTTTACTCTACTTTTTCATTCCGTAATATACCAAACAAAAAGATATCTGCACTTCCCATAAAGCTACAGCGACATTGCTGAAGAAACACACCAAATTTTCATAATCTTATATAGAGGCTTAAAACATAAGAGTGCTCGATGAAATCGATATTTTTCCCGATACATTATAAGACAATTTTTTTAATAATAGAACCGAAAAGAAATGAAAATTTATTATAATACGTGCTAGAGAAGTTATCCCGTATAGAACAGGAAAATAGAATTTCTTGTTATTTCCGTAAAATTGGATCTTTTAAAAAACAATATTTTTGACAAGTTTATTTTACTAAAGAATTCTAGAAAAGCGATCCTGTCACGGAAATTGCCTAGAAATTCCATCTACAAAACTCATATTTCAAAACTCATAGGAAACGATCGCTTATCTTAATAGTTTTAAACTGGTGTAAGTTGCTATATAACATTGTTGTCAGAAAGTTAAAAAAGATAGCTGTAAAATGTCCTATTTATATCATTTGCACAAACATACTATAGATATATAATCTAAACATAGATTGTGTTGTTAAAGTGTTATTTTATTTGAACAAATCTATGAAGTGATGTGTTAAATTTTCACATTGTTTTCAGTACATTCTTCTTTCAGAATATGTTACTTCGCAAAAGTCTAGATTTATGATATCGTTTTCTAACTTCTTTATGCTTCGTAAATTCTAGACGCATATACTAAAATAAAATGCGAATACGATCTTAACGGTACAAGTATGCATTATGTATTCTGATAATCGATTACTTTATGTTTCGTGCCAAATTGTTTCCGATATACTGCAGAAAATGATTTGTTATTATTTATCGAAGACTACGTCGCAGTTCTGTAATTGCGATTATCAGTATAATACGAAAATAATGGTTACGATTTTTAATTTTTTTATTTAATCATAATTTTTAATTCATTGCTTTTAATATTAGAAGATAAAAAAAGTAATGGTTGACATCAGCAATTTAATATCAGCAATTGAAAAGCGATAATTCTATTCAATAAAACATGCCAGTAACTCATGTAATAAATGTACAAGTCCAAAGAGAGACATGCAACAAGACTGTAATCTGCCGACGAAGCCTAAGCTTACTGCACGTCTCGTGCAAAAGAGGCTTCCGCGTTCTTTGCACGCCATCTGAACGTTTTATAATCACTGCTTCTCTCTTTCTCTTTCGTTATCCCTCCTTACTTTTGCATTCTCTATCTTCCTTACTTAGAAAAATGTCTGGCTATTAATTCACCCTCGCCTCCTGCCGCGCATAACGCCTTGACGGAACGTACCACCTGGTAAAACAAGCTACATAAATTAAATGGTGGATTATATATCCCAAATTTTCTTTATTTTCCGAACAGCGGAGAAGAACGGCGCAAATGAGTAAAGGTTAAATGCAGTTCGTGTTAAAATACAAAATTGTAATTATAAACTACATCTGCATTTTGTGAGAAAGATAAATACGATTTTATGAGAATTTATATTTAGCAGCTTTTTAAAAACATGATAATGATAAAGAAGTGTTTCAAAATTATTTTATACAGTAATAATTAATTTATCTTTTGACTTCTCAATTAATAATACTTTCGTGCGTTTAGCTAAACTAACAATTGATAACCACAAAAATAGTATATCTGCAGATATTTATTTTACATTTGTCAATACGATTAAAAAATAGTACCTTGGCAATTATAGGTTTTTTTTTGCCTCGGTAAAATTAACAAATGATGAAACGCTATCAGATCGATCATTGATACACACTTATCTCGCAGCGCATCTTATGACAACGACGGCAACCAATCGGTTTCCAATTTGATACAGAATAGAATCCATTAACGGCGTTCTCCACTGACGCTTCCACCGACCGGATACATTTCGGCGAGTGTCAAGGTGGGAAATGGCAGAAGTAAAGCGAGAAGCCGGTACGGAAGTGACGGAAGAAAAAAGGTATTGCGGACGAGAGAGCGCGACGAGGGTGCAAGAGAGAGAAACGAGGGATGAAAAGGAACATACGAGATGCGCGTAAGCGAGCTAGCTGGCAGCCGGTAGCTGACTCGTACCGATAAGAAGTCTCGATCCGCGTTCTCTCCCGCAGTTCTCTGTCCGACGCTTCGTTCGTACCTTTCCTTTCACGCGCTTCTTTCTCCAGTTCTCCTTTTTGCAAGGAGAATACGACATTAACTGACAGACGAAGAGCGACATCGGCGCGACATGATCTAGCACGGAGAGCAGTAGCGGCGTAGGCGATGAAGGCGACAAACCCTATCGGAGTATTGAGCTCAAAACGAAATAGGGAATTTAAGTGTAACTGTTCAATGATGAGATCTTTCCTAGTATCTATCCTCTCTCATTATTCTTCTTTTATCTTCAGTTTGTCATTTTTTATTTCTATTTACATTTGAATTATTTCAAGAATGTGTGTGACGTTTACTTAATTTATTTGACAATTCCTAATATATAAATTTTTATAAGAAAAATATTATATACATTAATAAATACGATTTAAACGATTAATAAATACGATTTAATGATTTATAATAGATTTATAAATCTATTTATATTGTGAACAATTCATATAAAGCATAAAGAATAGAAATGTAGAAATGATTTATGTTTTACGGATGTACGTGAAATAAAATACATGTTTTTTTTTCTAATAAGTCAAGACAAGATGAAGAAGTATTTAAAGGTTTTTAACCTATATAATTTAAGGTACTTATTTTTTAAATGATCATTGTTGCGTAGAAGATTTGTGCTTAATGTAGCAATTCCGGAAAAGTGTGATTAAGTAGTAAATTTTTCATGACTGACCTATTCTCATTTATATGGGCGCAATTACTATTCTAAGTTTATTTGCTACTGCCCGTTACATTTTCTGAACTTACATACCAGTGCCAGTTTGATAATGCAAACTACTATTAAACTGTTGATGTTAAAATACAGCGAAATGTTCACATAACGCGAAGATTTCCATCATTTGATATGAGATATGTATCTCGAACTAAACGCTTATCTTTGATTTCAAAATACGTTGAAATTACTTCTTTATTATACGATCGTATTACTTAGCATCTACATTCAATAAGTCTAACGTACTTCTACAATACGAAAATTATAGGTACTCTGAAAGTAAATTAACTCTTATGTTCAAGCACTTTTACAAGTTTTTTCGATAACGAGATACTCTTATTGTGATAACTACACTCATTTATGTTTACTATATGCGTAATAAATCTAATATTTTATAATTTATAATTCTATTTTACAATAAATAATTAGAAAAAATATAAGATAAAAGAGAAAATAAGAATCTGACACACTTACACACAGATGGAATAAAGAATATGAAAAACGTCAAAATATAATTTTAAAGCTTGAAAAAAAAAAGGTATAGTTTTAATTTTTTAAAAAAGAAAACATTAAAAAGTTACAATAGTCTGTATTTACATGATTAAATTTAAAGCAGAAAAAGTAAATTTAAGTAACTCAATATTTAAACTATGTTGAAAGAAGATAATAAATATCTCATAATTCGTAATATATTCTGATGTAACTCATATTTCATTTCTTTATAAATTTTCATGAATTTTGCATGAAAAATAATCTATGTATTAATAACGTAAATATTTGTTAATCTTTTATGTAGTAATAGATAATTTTATATCGTAATGTCAAACAAAATATGTCAGTTAGCTGAATTAGAACATGCAGACTTCGGGACTTACTGATCTATCACGAACACTTGTTATCATTATTTTATCGAGCAATCTTCATCAAGTGATACAGATATCGCCTGCTATTTACTAATTAATCGATTAAATTAAACAGACTCATATACACATGCAATATTAAGTAATGGATAATTTATTTATTATTTATTAGAAGATATGTACAACACAATGTCATATAAGCCGTGTAGTGATAATGTAATACAATAATTCACGGTAGCTGTCCATATATTGTTATATAGTTATATGCAATTAAGTCATTATAGATATAAACTGATTAAAGAGCCGTGCATTTAACATTGAATGGATAATCGCAGACCTGTTCCATGGGATTGAAGTGTAAGCCTTCAGGACATTTCATTACAATCGGTCGGCCATAGTCACAAACGAAGTAGTGATTGCAGTTGGTGGGATGAGGGATAAAAACGATATCATCTCCTTCTTTTGTCATTGGGCAATGAATTTCTTGTGCTTGGACATAAAATTCACCCAACAGGCACATCAAAAGTGCAATGGAGAATATGGCTAAAATATATTAAATCAATGAGAAAATGTAATGTAAGTAATCGTTTTATGAACTATCTTCAATTAATTACAATTTTGTACTAAGTGCAAAAATGAAAACGCGCGTGATATTAAATGTGTATAGTGATTATTGATGTTTTTATTATAATTTATATGGATTACGAAAAATGCATATCTGCAGGGAAGTAGTATAATAAGAATATCTTAGTCTAAATTATATATACACCTATAATTATTTAAATTCTAACTTTTTTCATGAAATTTGCTATATTATAAATATTCAATCCATTTACGATATTTATAAAAAAATATGTCCTACGTTTATTATGATACATTTTAAAATACTTTACACAATAATAATTATATTCACTCATGAATTGGAAACTCGTTAATCACATCTCACGTTAATCACTTGAACAAACTTACCTTTCATTTTGCTGCTTGTTATTCTTTATTTTACTCTTTATGCAAATCTTATTCTTACGCGAATCTACACCTGATTGTACATTCGACTATCTAAAGCCTCTTTATATACCTGATCAATAGATCCTTTTTATCAGTCTAGATCGCTCAATCGCTCCCTCTGAGATTCAAACCCTTATCAGATACGCGTGTAATGATATCATGATAAATCTGCGACTTAATATTTCACACAACGATCGTGAATAGCGACAGTTTCGTTAAATCACATCTAGGTTTGTTGTATATCATACCCAGTCAAAATGTTAAGAAGACGAAGGTCGAGATAAGCAAGTAAATGAGAAAAGAAGGGATTTATGAAGAGTGAAACGAAATGAACGAAATGTAGGATGAGTGCGAGAGAGTAACGGAGAATGAGAGGAAGCGAGAAAGGAGAAGGATGCTAGCTGACACTCGGACAATGCTGGCGTGGTGCTGTCGCGTTCGGTTCCTGGTTATGGCGGGTGCACAATGCCTATTGTCGGGCAACCCACCATACAAACGTGTGTGCTGACGCTTTCACACAACGGCCAGCTCTAGCTCTCTACCTCTATCTCCTCTATCTCGTCCGTTCGCTCTCTCTGTCACCGTACTTTCATTTCTGCCAAAGACGAACACAAAATCTTCCTCCTCGTCATTTCCTCATAAACTCGCGGCATTCGGCAAGACCAATAAGATATGTAAAGAATAATATACATTTTTTTTTTCAAATAACATCGTAGAAGTGGTGCAAAATGAGTTCAAGATGATAAAGTAAAAAGATGTGAAGGTTGGAAAATTATATTTGATAGTCGTCGCTTCCACGACATTGCATCTCTAAAATATCGTCGTAAAATTGCAGGTGACATATATTCCAGTTCTTACTGTTGCTATGATATAAAAATGTAAAAAATTACGAATTACTGTAAGTTATAAATAAATTTATAACTTTTTATTTTATTATTTAAAAAGTGCATTAATTAGCTATAAATAAATTTATGTACTGATAATATAATCTAATATATAAAATAAAAAAAAAAGTTTTCAAAATTTTTGAAAAAGTATTACAAATTTGTCATGATTGTTATATTGGAAATTATATTTTTATTAAACAACTTTTCCTTTCTAGCATAACTAAATTATTGATTTAATTTATACAAAATATCTGAATACGTATTGACAGGCTAAGATAACAATATCGATTAAACTGTGATATCGTTATCTTAATAACTAATGTCAATTTGATGTACAATATATCAATATATCTATATACCTATATAGAATAATCGCATTATCTCTCTCTCAATACTCTTACTCACTATGATTACTTTACTTACTTTAATTAAATTAGTTATATTTTTAAGATTATTTTCTATCTGACGCACATTCAAGTTTACAAATTCTTTTTTAAATACTAATACAATTTTAATAATTCATTATTATTGATTTAAATTAATAATTATCGACGTTTCATTTGCTGCAACATATTGCAGATACATATTGCTGTTATAATATATAAATATTAGATTGAATAACATGAGTTATATACAGAAAAATAACTCAAAAGTGAAGTTATAATTTCATCATAATGCTTCTGGGAATTAATAAAAAGTTTAATATAATTATATTTTGTTTTGTTTGTGTAGAAGTAGAGAATTTTCATAATAATAAATTGTTATATTTGTACGCTGAAATAATACGATATCCAAGAAATAAAGAAAAAAATCTTTTTGTACGACAAATAAGAAGAAGAGCGGACTTCCATTCTGTCACTTCGACGAGATGTCTATAATTTGAATTCAATCGTTTGCAAATCACGATCTCGTTCGCGTCTTATTCTCGATTGTTCGGAACTGCGCGGAAATTGGGTTTCCTTTAGGAAATGAAACATTTCAGTCGACACGGAGGAACGATTGTTCGAAAATGGTTGGACGCCTACAAACGAAAAATATATCGTTTTCTTGGAACGTGCGAAAATTTTGATCAACTCTCAGTCATAAAGCTAGTTTAACGTATAAAAATATATATTGCTTTGTTCGTGTTTCGACTTTAGATCAATTTTTATTGTTATTGAAAGAATAGTTATTGCAAACAATCTAATAAATGTATCTAATAAATATATATGATACAGCTGTCAATATTCATAAGTGTTAAAATAATTATAAGGTTATTAATCACTATGTTGCTGTCGATCATAATGTTTAAAAATATTATGGCATGTGAAAATGTTAGCGTTAATATTTCTATTCTCTATCGGCTGGGCAAAGAAGAAAGAAAGAGAAGAAGAGAACTTGGTCTCCCATACTCGCCATATTGGCATACACGCCGCCTGCGTTTTACGGCCATATTCAGCGATTTTGCATATCGAGGCCAGACCTATGTATGTGCGTACATTATAGGGCTGGGAAAAAAGGAAGAAGGGAGGAAGAGGAGAGACCCATCGCCATCCTTTCTTCTCCAACGCCATCAGAACTGCTGCAAGCCCATTCACCTTTTCCACATCGATTCACATATATACGGCAATCGCAGACCTTCTTGAGAGCTCAATTTATCGCGGAACGGCCTCCGCTGCCGCATCGGTACAAAGCATGCTGGTGTGCGGGACGTATACCCTCCTACGGATCAAATTGTCATAATTGAATAACCAAAGAGATAAGCGAGCTCCGCTTTGACTATAAGTGCGCTCACGTAACTTTGGCAACGACCTCATATACGGGTCGATTCATTTAACCCTGGAGTACTTCGAGTCCACTTGGTGTTCAATTCTAAATTCTCCCTCTCGTATCATGCCTACACGAATTCATTTTTACGATTGAGTCGATTAAACTGACTTATATGTTACAGTCGGCATTTCATTTATTTTGATGTATTGATACTTGATATATTGAAATTGATTATATAGGAATTTTTTAATATAATTTTAATTATTAGTGATATCTTACAATAGTTGAATGTGAAATTGCACATATTAAATATTAAACTAAAAGACTAATTAATATTTAAAATTTACCTACCAAAATTTTATCAATTATAATGTAAAACAATATTTAAAAGACTATTACAACTTTATATACAATATGTGTAACAAGAATATTCTCAGAGAGTAAAGGAGGGATAAGACAACTCTAAAATTGTGCGATTCATTCCAGCGATCAGAAAAGAAAGGCAGTATAAAAGAAACACTTGATGAAGCTGATGGAAAAGGTTGATACGAAATAAACGAGATCGGATGGAAGCGTAGGATGCGGATATCGGGGATAGCTTTAACGGTCTTTTGTTTAGCTGACTTCACCATTCGCTGGCATGTCGATAATTGCCACAATGTGGGGATGAAAAGCTAGGAAAAGTGCGGTGCAGCTGAAAATCGGAGAAAATGGTTAATCGAATGACGAGTTGATCACTAATTTTACTCTTGAGACTTGTATACCTACTCATTACACGCGGAGCAAAGTTGTGTACTTCATAATATCATTATTTTTATTTTCAATTACTTTCTCTAGAATGGTTATAGGTATACATAAAAAAGGAGGAGAATTTCATCAGAAACTTGATAATTTTCATTTTACCAGAGATATGAGTAATAATATGAATTATTTTCTCTATTGATAATTAGTCAATCAAAGATTCGAAATGGAACTAAGTACATATTGGCATTCGTATTAGACAACCAGTTAGAAACTTGTTGCTGTGATTTACAATCATGGAGCAGGCAAATTGGGGAGCAGTTGGGAATATGTCATAGATTTGTGCCTATGAGAAGTGGTATTGCGGACACAATTGCTTCTGGCGCGAGGAACGTAACATGTGGTCACGCAATACCATTTCGATTGCGCTCATTATGGATTTATTAGATTCCATCGTTCTCTCTTACTTAATGCAATATAAAAAGCAAAAATATTAAATCCATTTCGTAGTATATAAAGAAATTATACAATATTTATAAAATATATGCAATATACACAAAACTATTTTTAATGAATTATTCCATTTTTAAACAAATAAATTTTTTAGATTTTACAAAAAGTAAAATAAATTAGTTATAAATACATACTTTATTTAGAAAAGTTTCAATTATTATTACGACAAAAAAATATATTTGCAGATGAAACTTTTTTACAATTGTGAATAAATAATTACGCTTTTAATTTTATAAAAATATTTTTTGTTTTATGTTCGCATGTGAAATTAATTTCCCGTTTGCAATCTAGATCTTTTTAGCACAATTATGAATTTTCTCTAATTAGATTTTATTTTTTCGAAATGAAAAAGGTGAAATTAGCTTCCTCTTCTTAAAATATCTTGTCAGTAGTAGGTCTTACTTACATAATAGAGATGTTTAAAAGTAACATAAATTTTTTTTAAAGTGTAGAACAACAAAAAAAAACTCGGACTGAACAAAAAGGAATCAGATTACAGATGGAAGGAATAAAAATATGATTGTAAACGGAGGGTTAAATAACGCTAAAATTTTTATTTTAATTTCTATCTTTCAATTTTCTTTTTAGAAGATCAAAGACGGTAAAAGATTATAGCAATAGTATTTGATTCCGTAGAACATGGACTCTCTGTGGTCGTCTGATATTTACGAAGAAGCGTGAGTTACGAAGACCGCATCCAGTAAATTATAGAGTATATTTTGTATTATAGTATGGTACAATAAAATGTTTGTAATTTAAATCAGAGAGGAACAACAAAAGTGTGTATTTCTTTAACACTGTACGAAAATAAAAAGAAATAATAACGATATATAGATACAAAATCTACAAAAAATACGATCTACGATCGTAATTTTGAATTTCGAATACAGAAGATAGATATAATTTTAAATAATATTTATTAAGTTATTAAACGTATAATAATATAAACATGCAACGATATTGTAATTAGAATTTTCAAAATTTTTAATTTAAATGGTTTATCTTTGATGTTTTAATAGTTGAAAATATTATTATGATTACAATTTATGATGACAACAAGGTTACACATTGATACAAGACAAATATAGTCAAATATTAAAGGAAATTAATGTAGCAATGAACATTTTAATTCTATATCTACGATCGAGTTTTTATTG